CCAGATCACCTAACTGATGAATTCTATCAAATATTTTTTTTTTAAAGATTTTATTTATTTATTTTTCCCCCCAAAGCCCCAGCAGATAGTTGTATGTCATAGCTGCACAACCTTCTAGTTGCTATATGTGGGACGCGGCCTCAGCATGGCCGGATAAGCGGTGCGTCGGTGCGCGCCCAGGATCCGAACCCCGGGCCGCCAGCAGCGGAGTGCGCACACTTAACCGCTAAGCCACGGGGCCGGCCCTCAAATATTTAAAGAAGAATTAACTCCAATATTTCTCAAACTCTTCCAAAACATATAAGGAGAGACCACTTCCTAACTCATTCTATGAGGCCAGTGTTACCTTGATACCAAAGCCAGGGAAAGATATTATAAGAAAAAAAATTACAGACCAATATCCCTTATGAACATTGATGCAAAAATCCTCAACAAAATACTAGCAAACAGAATTTAGCAAACGATTAAAGGGATTATATACCATGACCAAGTGGGATTTATTCCTGAAATGTAAGAATAGTTCAACATATGAAAATCAATCGATGTAATACATCATGTTAATGGAACAAAGGGGAAAAAAAACCACGTGATCATCTCAATCAATGTGGAAAAGGTATTTGACAAAACTCAACACCTTTTCATGATAAAATCATTCTACAAACTAGGAATAGAAGGAACCTTCAACCTGATAAAGTCCATGTATGAAAACCCCACAGCTATCATCATACTCAATGGTGAAAGACAGAAAGCTTTCTCCCTAAGATCAGGAACAAGACAAGGATGCCCACTTTCACCACTTCTATTCAACATGGTATTGGAAGTTCTAGCCAGAGCAGTTGAGTAAGAAAAAAAAAAAGGCATCCAGATTGGAAAGGAAGAAGTAAACTTATCTTTGTTCACAGATGATATGATCTTACAGGTAGAAGACCCTAAAGATTCCACACACACACACACACACACACACACACAAAACCTGTTAGAGCTAATAAACAAATTCAGCAACATTGTAGGATATGAAATCAACACACAAAAATCAGTTGCATTTCTATATACCTAACAATGAACAATATGAAAAGAAAATTAAGAAAACAGTTCCATTTATAATAGCATCAAAAGAATAAAATACATATGAATAAATTTAATCAAGGAGGCAAAAGCCTTGTACGCTGAAAACTACAGACATTGATGAAAGAAATTAAAGACGACATAAATCAACAAAAACACATTCCATGTTTATGGATTGGAAGAGTTAATATTGTTAAGATGGAAATACTATCCAAAGTGATCTACAGATTCAATGCAATCACTATCAAAATCTCAATGACAATTTTTTAGAAATAGAAAAATCCATCCTAAAATTCATACAGAATCACAAGGGACCCCAAATAGCCCAAACAATCTTGAAAAAGAAAAATAAAATTGGAGGACTCACACTTTCTGATTTCAAAACATACTACAAAGTTACAGTAATCAAAACAGTGTGGTATTAGCATAAGGAAAGACATATAGGCCAATGGAATAGACAGCCCAGAAACAAACCCCTGCATACGTACATTACGGATTTTCCACAAAGGTGCCAAGACCATTCAATAAAGGAAAGGACAATCTCTTCAACAAATGGTTTTGGGAAAACTGGATAAGGATATCCACATGCAAAAGAATGAAGCTGGACCCTTACCTTACACCACATATAAAAATTAACTCAAAATGGATCAAAGACCTAAATGTAAGACCTAATACTATAAAACTCTTAGAAGAAAACATAGAGGAAACTTTCATGATATTGGTTTTGGCAATGATTTCTTGGATATGACATCAAAAGTACAGGCAACAAAAGAAAAAATAGATAAATTGGATGCCATCAAAATTAAAACTTTTGTGCATCAAAGGACACTAGCAAGATTATGAAAAACAATCCACAGAATGGGAGAAAATATTTTCAAAGCATATATCTGACAAGGAGTTAGTTTTCAGAACATATAAAGAATTCCTACAACTTAACAACAGCAAAAAATAAAAACCAACCAACTAAATTTAAAAAAAATGGGCAAAGGACTTGAATGGTCATTTCTCCAAAGAAGATATACAAATAGTCAATAATCACATGAAAAGATGCTCAACATTACTAGCTATTAGGGAAATGCAGATCAAAACCACAATGACAAGGATGGTCACATAAGTGTTCTGTGCAAGCTGGTTTGACAAGAGTGTTATTTCAAGGAACGGATGCGACTCCTCTTCTGTAATGCTTTAGGGATTTGTTAAAAAATACATAAAATAAGGATGGATAGGAGTGCTAAAAAAACACAATGAGATACCACTACATACCCATTAGGATAGCTATTATTTTTTTTATTCCTTATTTTTGCTGAGAAAGATTCACCCTGAGCTAACATCTGTGCCAATCTTCCTCTATTTTGTATGTGACTCGCTGCCACAGCATGGCCACCAACGAGTGGTGTAGGTCCGTGCCTGTGAGTTGAACCCAGACTGCCAAAGCAGAGAGTGCCAAACAACCACTAGGCAATGGGGCTGGCCCGGCTACCATTTTTTAAAAAGGGAAAATAATGTGTTGGTGAAGATGTGGATAAATCGGAAACCTGTGCATTGTTAGTGGGATGTAAAATGGTGCAGCCACTATGGAAAACAGTTTGGTGGTTCCTCAAAAAGTTAAACATAGATTTACCATATGATCCAGTAATTCCACTTCTAGGTATATACCCCAAACAATTGCAAGCAGTGACTCAAACAGATACTTGTACATCAATGTTCATAGCAGCATTATTCACAACAGCCAAAAGGTGGAAACATTTCAAAAGTCCATCGACAGATAAATGGATAAAGAAAATGTGGTATATCCATACAACAGAATATTATTCAGCCTTTAAAAGGAATGAAGTTCTGATACATGCTACAACCTGGATGGTCCTTGAGAACATTATACTAAGTGAAAGAAGCCAGATATAAAAGTACAAATATTGTATGATTCCACTTATATAAGGTACCTAGAATACGCAAATTCATAAAGACAGAAAGTAGAATAGAAATTAGCAGGGGCTAGGAAGAGCAGGGAATGGGAAATAACTGCACATCTAATTGTGTAGGGGAGGTCTGAGTATGTAGACAAAGACACATTTAGAGTCAAATGAACCTGGGCTTAAGTTAAGTATTGGCTTTGCCATTTACTGGATGTGTCACATGAGTCAAGTTAATTAACCTTTTTAAATCTCAGTTTACTCATCTGAAAAAAAAACAAAACGGGATCAAAGTCACACCAAACTCAGAGCAATTGTGAGAGTTAAATGAGATAAGGCATACAAAGCAGTTAGCAAACAGCTTAGCACCTAGTAAGTGCTCAGTGAATGTTAGCTATTATTAACCTTGGAACAGTTCTTGGCACACAACTCAATAAATTTCTGTTGAAGGAATATGTGCAACTGCCTATTTGCTATAATGATAAAATGTATTTAAGCCATAGTTAGGGGAGAGGCAGGAGGGCTTTGAAGGGGGTGGGGTCCAGAAGAACTTATTCGAAAGACAGTAACATTACAGAACAGAACCCAGAAAAATATTCTGTATGTATTTGACAATATGATAGTATGTATATAACAGGTTTTTATCTGTACATCAGTGCTACTTCTTGGATCAGCTCTCCCCTACCATAATTCATGCTCTTCCCTTTCTTGCACTTTTCAGTCCCTTCTTCCTTAAGAAGCGTCTGGAAATCTGACAGTAAAGGAAAAATTACATATGTGTATACCTGTATCTTAAGGGTAATTTTTGCCTCCTTCCATGAAAGTCTTACCATATTTTAAGCATTTAATAAATATTTCAAATCAAGTCTGGCACGTTAGATCCTCAATGAACATTTGTTGGATAATTAATTTATAAGTGAGCAGTTCCTCACTATGCTCCCCTCCTTCGCCCATAGGGATGCTCCTTGTGACACATCCTTTTTTTTTTTTTTACTTGAGGTCACATTGGCTTATAACATAAATTGCAGAGCACTATTTTTATTTATCTAATATTTATATCTGATTCTCTCTCTCTCTCTTTTTTTTTTTTTGCAGAGGAAGATTGGCCCTGAGCTAACATCTGTGCCCATCTTCCTCTACTTTACATGAGGCGCCGCCACAGCATGGCTTGATAAGCGGTGCGTCTGTGCGCTCCCGGGATCCAAATCTGCGAACCCCGGGTCGCCAAAGTGCAGCTTGTGCACTTAACCACTTTCGCCACTGGGCAGCCCCCTGATTCTCTTTTTAAAAGGTTTTGAAGCAGCTTTCAATGTTACGAACTGCACAAGATAAAAATCATTAGGGAATTGGGAGAGAACGTGGTTATTTAAGATAAGAGAAAGATCAACATTTGCCAATGAGATTCACAGTTGTAAGAAGTGGGTCGAAAAATTGATTCTGAGCTTCCTAGCAGCCATTGCAAGAAAAGTTAATTACATAATTCACATTGTGCATGTGATTCAAAACACACAATTACTCAGCTATTTCAGTTACTGAAAATAGAATTTTTTCCTTTGAGTTATTATTAAACAATTATTTTTTGATATAATAAATGCCTCAAGAATATTCTATAGTAAATGAAAAATGAATTTCATTGGTCTATTTTGTATTACAACCCTGGATGTAGCCCCACGACATAATGCCAAAATAAAGATCAGTGCATGGATTCTAAAAGGGGCCAAAATGATTTTGTCTAGGTCTGAAGCTCTGGTAATTTAGCTTCACAGAATGAAAAAAAAAAATCGTGTATCCAGAAGAAATGATTGTACAATAATTAGTTTTCCCCAAATATTTATTCCTTATGGCTTAGATAAGTGTTAGGCAGTAGAGACCTCACAACTATAACCTCTAATAAGTATCTCTAATGTCTCTAATATTATCCCTGTGTCTTTAAGGAGGATATGGTTGACCTCATTTTATGAAAGTTCTGGAATCTTCAAGGTCACATGACTAAACGGAAGCCATTTTATGACCTACCGGTAGACCATGAAGTGCCCTGAGGGACAGCTGCCCAATCCTTCGGAAAAGGATTCAACACCAACAGCTTCAACATCAGAGGTAATGAGCTTCCACGACCCCCAAAGTCCTGTGGACCTTGGAGCTGACACTGCCGGCGATCGTGGCGCCGAAACTGCCGGCGACCAAGGCAGCCAAACTCCTGCAGACCATGGCGCCCAAGCCGACGCCGAAAGCGGCGCCCAGGCTGCTGCCGGCACTCCGCTGGAAAACTTACTGAAAGGGAAAGGTAAGTGGCTTTAAGTTTTTTCCCACAAGTTTAGGATCTTCTTGGGGAGAAGCGAACTGGTTAGAAGTTTATTTGTACCGCGACCCCACTTTAGGAGAAATAAGCGGCGTAGCTTGTTTTTCTGTCCAAAAGATGTACAGTAGTGACTCTGTTGAGGAGAAGCGAGCAGCTAATTATGTTAGAGTAGTTTGGGCGCAGATTCTAGTTATTTAATGGGTTTTCGCGGCGGTGTATTTGTCACCAAGCGAGGTCGCCTCACCACTGGACAAATCGGTCCAACCTAACGGATTCGAGGAGCAATATCGCTGTGTACTGGTGAAACTCGTGTGGCCGACCCCAAGGTCGCCCCTGGGTAAAGGGAATTTGTTCTGGAGCCTTGATCCGCGAGGTCCCTGAGCGGCGGCGTCCCCGGCGCGCTCGGCGCCTTCCCAGCCCTCCCGCCTGGGCACGCGGCGAGCTGGCCGCCCCCTCGAGGCCGCCCTCTGTCCGGGCGGCCGCGGAGGCGTGGCGGGGAGGGGCGGCGCGCGCGCCTCCTACCTGTCGACGCGCAGTCGGCCCGCTCGAGCCCCCGCCGGAACCCCCCGAGGGCAGAGAGGCAAGCCCCCCGCGCGGCCTTTCCGTCCCGGTCGGGTTGCCGTCCTCAGAGGAGCGGGTGAGCGGGCGGTCAGCGCCGGGCAGCCGCGCGCCGCGCTCCTCTCCGCAGCCCGCCGGGACTACGAGGCGCGAAGGCTAGGGCCCCTTGGCCGAGCAGGAGGTTTTCCAGGGAAACGGGATCAAAACCTAGGAGCTGGACGCTTCCCTTGGAAGCTTAGTGCCCCTAGGTTAAGGATGGAGTGGTCATTGCCTCCAAACTGCAGCCAGCGGTTATGAACTTGAGAAAATACCAATTTAGGTTAGCTGACTGGTGCTGCCTGGAGCGTGCTGTCAGGCGCCCTCCAGCTAGCTATAATTCTAATTCAGATTCTAACACCGTTGAGGCGAGATGGAGCTGAGGGTGAACGGTGGAGAGCGGTTGGTCCTGTTAATTTAATTAGGTACCAAAGAATGCTTGCTGGAAAAAAGTGGATGCCTTTTTCTTTTTTTTAAATAAATATGATATAACCAGTTAATTGGGTAAATGCAGGTAACAAATTTTTAAAAATAATTAAATCTCATTTCAGCTAGCGTTGTCCACCTTCTCTGAAATAGTTTCAGCTCTTAAATTCTTTCTTTCATAAGAGAGGAGTTGCCAGAAAGGCATTGAAATGAACAAAATGCCTAGTCTTAGTTCTGCAGAGAAATCTAAAAGTTGCTACTGATCTGATAAAATCATGCTTAGCAGCTAGTTCTTCAAATAATCTGTATTTCTACTCCCAACCTTAAGTGTTTGGTACTCTTTCTTCTATTATGCCATGTGCCCCGCCCTAAGTTTTTTTATTTAATTTACTTTATTTTAATTAACTTTTTTCCTTACGTTTACATTGAGTTTTTGCATTTGTGTGTGTGTATAACTGTATGAAGCAGGAAAAGAAGAAATGACTATCACAGATAATCAATCTCTCTCTCTTTTTCTCTCCTTCTCTCTCTCTCTCTCTGTCATCCTGGATCTCTGATTTTCCACTGCTGACCTCTCTTGTGCTTTCTGTGCCTTTCTGGTAGTTTCTGAAGTCATACTAAACGACTGAAGTAATAGCTGGTGAGTGATTTCATTGTAATAGTGTCTCAGATTCACTTGTATGTGTTTAAAAACAAGGTTCCAGGGCTTTTAAGTGAGATTCAAATTCAAAACTCAGAGCCCAGTTAATGGTTTACAGGGTATTAGGAGCTGTACATTAACTGGAGTTTTTAATCTAACTTAAGGTATAAGATTTTGTAACTTGGTGTATGGCATAGTGTCCTTAGAACATAAGAAAAGAACATAAGAAAACTTTGTCAGGTTTCATATATGTACATTGCTTTCTTTCCACCTTTGAGAAAAAATTTTCTCAGAGGAAGTGTGGGCCCTAAAACCCAAAATGCAAGCCACTACAGATGTATCCCAAATAGGTGGAAAATAAGATTAAAAATAAAGATTCATTTGGAGATAATTCACTTTACAGAAGGTGTATTTTTTTAATAAAGGGATCCATCTTAGGATTCCTTTAAATAGCTTTTAGGGGTACTTCAAATAAGTGGTGGTTGTGAGGATTAAATGAAATAATAGACCCAACCCACTCAGTGTAGTGCTTGGCACATAGAATTCATGCAGTACGTGTTAGTGATGAATTCATGCAGTACGTGTTAGTGATGAATAAATCAAATGGGATTTTACGTTCTTTCATATCACCCCTTCAGGAATGCATCTATTCCGTGAAGTTAAGTGTACTCATACAGAGAGCCTCGCCGTAAGAACTGGACTCCTTACTTTTCCCAAGGGTAGCTCAAAGTTTTTGATGCTGGCTCTAGAGTCATAAAAAGCTGCCTGCTCTCCCATGGGCTTAATTCCTACCAATCCATTAAGGTGAAGGAAATATTGAAAATTAAGTTCTTGTTTCCTTCAAATCATCATAGAAAACTTCTGCCAGTGGTTTTGGTTGATTTCAGCCTTTGGTTGGGACTCTTTGCTGCAGAGTTTGCTTCAGTAGCCACCACTGTGTTGATGAATTGTAGTCCTTTATCTGGGTCTAAGAATATCATTAAAACGACTAAATCATATTTCATAACAACTCTTACTTCATTTGTTATCATGTAATTGGGATTAACTTTGGAAAATATGCACATATTGGAGGGGAGATAAGGTGACATCTAGAAATAATCAAGTTATGTCAAATAAGGTATTTCAGAGCTGTACACACATCATTCCAGTGAGGGTTATAAGCAAGATCTTATATAATTTAACCAGTACTACCATAAGTGGTCAGCAGAGGGAGCAAGAGGAGTTTTTGGTGACTTTCTGTTGGTTTTGTTTTTGTTTTCATGAACTTAAAAACAAGAGATGAATAGAAGCCGGGATGAACCTCCTTACGAACTTGAGAACCAATTTATATTGCGTCTGCCTCCGGTAAGAAACCCTTGTATCTCAGACTAAATATCTTCAGTATATCAGTATTAGTTCTGCTTGGATTCTGTAGCATTTCTATTTAAGGCAGGCCATAAAAACTGAAAATATTTGTTTCCCAGGAATCATGTTCTAGTAAGCAGTCCTGTCCTAGTGTGTACTCTTTTAGCAGCATTTCTTTCATCCTGTATATGCCACCTATCGTGTGGGTTGATTTCCTGGCAAATAGCTGTGACAGTGATGGATTCAGTCACTTATCACAGACACTAACGGCCTGTTCACTGGAGAGCCAAGATAAGACTCTTCTAAAATCCTTTCTGTCACTTCAGAAGAGGCAATGAGAGGGATCAGCACTGTCTCCTCAAATTCACCACCATACAAGGCTGTCGAAGCTCATCTCAACATCGTGTTAGGGTCTCTTCCCCATTGATACCTGTATTCAGGTATCATTTAGTCTAAGAAAGCTATATTAAGGATGGGCTTCAGAAAGGTTTTTCCCCAGTTAGGGTTAATTAATATACCCAGCAAACTACAGTCAAGCCTTTCCTTAGCAACTACAGCTGAGGGGCAGCAGTGAGAGGTAGGAATGTAGAGCTAGGAGAAGGCATTAACTATAGCTACTTGACAACAATGAGATTAGAGACAACAATGAGATTCGAGTCAGCCTCATCCTAACTTGACTTACACAATGCATGGTATCTCATGGTACATGGCATGGTTCCTAACGTTTGAGAGGTTTAAGGTTTTGTTTAAGGGAGGACTGTCTCTGAATATCTATTCTATTAGCTGCCAAGTAGACAATTCACCCTTCTGATGTTTCAATTTAACTCCTTTTTAGGAACATGCTTCTGCTGTAAGGAAGATAGTACATTCCACAAGTGTTGCCATGAAGGATAAACTAAAAATTGACTTATCTCGTAAGTAGTTAATATCCATTCACTGGACATTGAACAGTAATTTATTAAGGGATTACTTTGTGCCAAGGCACTATACTAGATACTAAGGATGTGACAAAGAGTAGCATGTGGTCTCTGCCTTGCTGGAGTCTAAGAGAGGCTGAAGTCACTCCTATCTCTTGTCTTTTGAGGAAAGGAAGTAGAAATTATGCAACTTGAGGTAATTACCATAGTGCGTATAAGGAAGAACCTGGGAGTCAATTGTGGGATTTGCATGCTGCTGATTGTCTCCTACAGCCAAGCTTTGTGATTTCTGACCGTGCAGGAGAATGACCAATGAATGTACTGCCCTTTGTTTACAAAAGTGACATATCTTTCTCTCTTTTAAATAATATTTATTGGGTTTTTTAAATACAGAGAAATATATAAAGAAGAAAATAAAAAGTGACCCATAATCCCACCACTCAGGTAGCCCTTATTGACATTTAAAAAAAGGTAATACAAGTTCATGGTTAGAAAATTCAAATAAGACAGAAAAGTTCAAAAGGAGAATTGAAACTCTCCCTCACAGTGCCCCAACCTCAGTGCCAAAGATAACTAATAATAACCATTTCTCCTTGTCTTTCCTTACAGACAAAATTTTTATGCATAATACCAACATTTAAATAATCTCTCTATATTTTTAAAGTTAATTTATACCAGAAGGCTTATGTCAAACATGGTTCTGCATCTTTCTCTTTTCATTTAATATTAGAAGATTACACTCGAATCCTCTTGTGTCAAAAGATATTCATGTTTGAGACATCTGGGCAGGATTCAGAGTTGTCAATATATGAATGTATATATACATGTTCAGTATATGACTATTATGTAGAATTTTATCTTTGTGATGCTAACTAGAGATTATAACTTGAGACTTATTAGCTCAATTCTAGGATCAACCCTTCCCTCATCCAAACCTTTAACCATGTACAATGACACAATTGAATGCTTCTAATAGTGTCAAAATGAATGGATTTGAATGAATGGAGTTTGCTTTTCAGGATGAGAATGAAACATTTCCTACTTCATCCACGTTTAGTTCACAACCATTACCAAGAAACTTAGCTACTTTTGATCGAGTGACAAAAACTGGGAAAAAAGAGCCCCATGTACTATGCCTTCTTTTCCCTGGGAAGTTACTAATTGCATACACAATTCTAGCATTATGAGAAAGAGTAGGTTTCACTGAAAGACTAGTCCGTCCCACGTACATCTTCGTTATTCAAACCCTAGGAGGCTTAAGAGTACGCTGGGAAGTATGTAATCTATGCAGAAATAGAAGCATAATGATGTAACCTGAAATTTATGCAATGTTATAGACCAATGTTACCGCAATAAAAAAAAATGATAAATAAATAAATGCTACAAAAAAAAAGAGTACATTGGGAAGACGTCAACTTTAATCTTTCCTACTTCTCTTCAGCTGATGGACATCATGCAGTTGTTGAGGTAGAAGATGTCTCACTAACTGCTAACCTGGTTGATTTGCCTTGTGTTATTGGAAGCCTGAAAACTCTTGATAAAAAAACCTTTTATAAAACAGCGGATATTTCCCAGGTATGGGTATTTCTCAAAAAATCCCTTTCTCCTTCCTTTTCTCTTTCCATCAGTGCTCCTTTCCACTTGGTGAATGGCTGCTCGTTATTTCTAATTTCCAGCTCAATTGCACAGGAATACAGTGTCACGGTCTGGTTTGGTGTTTGATCCATAACTTTCCACTACTTTATTTTATCCAAATAGCTTTTAGAGCCTCCTGTTTGCCATTTATAGTGACTTTCGTTATTTGAAAAATATGAACATCTGGGATCTTCTTCTGAACTTTCTGCTAAAGCAGCATGTTTTAACTTGGGAGGTTTACCTTGATTCTTATTCATCATCTCTACTGTTGATTTCTTGTTTCTTTTCTAAATCAAAATGCTAAGATATATCTGTTTTTAACATATTCCCTCTGCAGTGGTAAGCACTCGAGCTAAAAAAAAACTCAGAGTCCATATACAGTGTTGCTGAGACACACAGAGAGAGAATGAATATGAATGTATATAATAACTTGGTTTTCTGGAAATGCCAAGTAACATACTCCTTACTTCTATGCTCCAGGATTTCTGGTGGTAAGAATGATCACGATTCATTACTAACTCAAGATTTATGGCCATAGTCAACTTCTTTGTCTTTGTTAAATGTAGATGCTTGTATGCACTGCTGATGGTGATCCCCACTCTTCCCCGGAAGAACCAACTACCTCTACTGATCTTAAAGTAATCGCAAAAAATGAAAGAGAGGGCAAGAAAAAATATGTCTGGAAGCATGGCAGTAAGTCAACAGCCCCTTGCTCATTCTGGCTGCCTACATATATCTGCTGAATCCTAATTACTTGTGAGCCGGGGACCTGTTACCACACTGAGGTGATTGGTTCATTAGGCATCCAGACACCCTTAAAAGAATGAGCCATGTCATGAGCCAGTGGCTTATAAGATGACCTTTCTCTTTATCAAATTCAGATAGATATGTGGCTACCATCAGGCATATATATGTTTCACCATGTTGAATTTTTTTTAGTTACACCACCACTTAAGAATGTCAGAAAGAAAAGATTCCGCAAAACAATAAAAAAGGTTAGTTGCATGCTATTTCTGTGTCTACTGGGTGGATTGGAAGAGGATTATGAGTGGGGCGGAGGAAGGGGAGACAGTCAGTTAGGGATTAATTTATTCATTTATGTGTTCAATAAACGCTTATTGAGTGTAAGCTAAATGTCAGGCACTGTGTGCTAGCAACTGGGAATATGCAGTGAACAAAACCAGACTTGATCCTTGAGGTTATAGGCTAGTCGTTTAGGGATCTGGATGTGTCATGAATTTGAAACTTCTGCTAATGCTTTTAGTTTTCAATTGCAAGATCTAGTTTTAAAGGGAACCCATTCCAGAACTTGAGAATTGGGAATTGTGGTTATATTCCTAACCTTACCTCAGACTTGTAGAACCTTGGGCAAGCTACGGGAGTACTGTGACTTGGCTTGTTTTTTTAATTAAACTTTTTATTTTGAAATAATTGTAGATTCACAAGTAGTCGTAAGAAATAAAAGAGAGATACTGTGTAACTTTTTGCAAAACTATAGAACATATCACAAACAGGAAATTGACCTTATTACAATTCACCAATCTTACTCAGATTTCTCCAGTTTTACTTGTACTCCTGTGTGTGTGCATGCATGTGTTTAGTTCTATGCAAATTTTATCCCATGTGTATGTTGGTGTATCTACCTGCACCGCCAAGATTCTAAACAGTTCTGTCACTGCAAAAATCCTTCATTTTGACCTTTTATAGCCACACCCATCTCCTTCCCACCCCACACCCCCAGTCTCTAAGCCCTCGCAGTCACTAATATGTTTCCCATGTTTGTGATTTTGTCATTTCAACAGTGTCATATAAATGGAATCATACAATGTATAACATTTGAGACTGCCTTTTTTTTTTTTTTGCTCAGCATAATTCCCTAAAAAACCATGCAAGTTTTTGCACATATCAATAGTTCATTCTTTTTTATTGCTGAGTAGATTCCATGGTATGAATGTACCACAGTTTGTTTGACTGTTCACCCGTTGAAGGACATCTGGGTTGTTTCCAGTTTTTGACTATTATAAATAAAGCTGCCAGCAGGTTTTTGTTGAACATGAGTTTTCATTTCTTTTGGATAAATGCCCAGGAGTGCCATTGCTGAGTTGTATGGTGACTGCATGTTTAATTTTATAAGAAGCTACCGTACTGTTTTCCAGAGTGGCTGTACCATTTTACATTCTCACCTGCAATGGATGTGTGTGATCCAATTTCTCTACATATTCACCAGCTTTAGGTGTTATCACTGTTTTTTATTTCAGCCATTCTGATGGATGTGTAGTTATCTCTTTGTGGTATTAATTTGTATTTTCCTGATAGCTAATGATGTTCAACATATTCTCAAGTGCTTATTTGCCATCTGTATATTCACTTCAGTGAAATGTTTATTCAGGCCTTTTGCCCATTTTCTAAATGGATTTTTTTTAATTGTTGAGTTTTGAGAGTTCTTTTTATATTCTAAATACTAGTCTTTTGTCGGATATCTGGTTTCCAAATATTTTCTCCCAGTCTGTAGCTTGTCTTTCCATCTTCTTCACAGGGTCTTTCAAAGAGCAAAAGTTTCTTGTTTGATGAGGTCCAGTTTATTGATTTTTCCTTTTAAAGATCTTGCTTTTTGTGTCAAGTCTAAGAAGTCTTTGCGTAGCCCAGATTCTGAAGATTTTCTCCTGTTTCTTTTTTCTAACAGTTTTACGTTTTACGTTTAAGCCTGCGGTCCATTTTTGAGTTAATTTTTGTAAAAGATGCGAAGTTTAGTTCAAGGTTCCTTTTTTTTTTTTTTGCCTTTGCACGTCTAGTTGCTCCAGCACCAATTTTTAAAAAGGCTGTCCTTCTTCCACTGTATTGCTTTTGCACCTTTGTCAACAATCAGTTGGGCATATTCGTGTGAGTCTTTTTCTGGGTTCCCTGTTCTGTTCCATTAATCTATGTGTTGATCCCTCCGCCAGTATCACAACATAGCTATAAAATAAGTCTTGAAATCAGAAAGAATATTCTCTATTTTTCTTTGTCAAGATTGTTTTAGTCGATCTAGAGCTTGTACCTTTCCATATAAATTTTGGAATAAGTTTGTCTTTGTCTATAGAAAACCTTGTTAGAATTTTGATAGAAATGGCATTAAACTTCTAGATCAGTTGGGGGAGAATTGACAGCTTTACTATGTTGAGTCTTTCCATCTATGAACACGGGTGCCTTAGCTTTTATACTGTCAGTCAACAGCATTCATTGAGTTCTTACTAAATGTAAAACTAAGTTAAGAATACTTTTAGAACTCTTTAAGCTTTAGTGAAGTAGAAAAATCGTAATATAACTTCATTGTTTATTGTGTTTTATTTCATAGCTCATTGATTTTGAAGAAATCAACTGTACTGAGGTAGAGCAATCATAATATAACTTTATTGTTTACCCTTAGTGTGTTTTATTTCATAGCTCATTAATTTCAAAGAAATCATAAAGGTTACTTTCAAGCCTTCCTTCTCACCTCTAACTCTTACTCCCATACACATACACTGAATTCGATTCACTGAAAAATGAATTCATTGTTTAATGTCTGATAACTCCTAGAGGAAAGGATACAGTTTGGCCGGTGACCCTGTGTATTCTAATTTGCTTTTTTCTCTGATATTTATTTAAAAAGCCATTTCTTGGAAGCCAGGGTTCACTTTTACCAGCAATTGTTTGCAATTGCTTATTCCCCCTCAAAGTTCTAATTTCTATTTGTACCATGACGAATTGCTTGCTGTGGAGATATCTAAAACTGGATTTAAGGGAGAACATGTAACTAACACCCAATTTTTATAGGAAAATCTCTAATAATAAAGATGTGGGGAAGTGACATCTGGGAATTTGGATTTTTAAACCAAATTACTTCTGAATAACAAATAAGGAATTATAGTTCTTTGCCAGTTTGGGTCAAGGTGAATAATTAATAACTGAGACCTAAAGGTTGTGCCTCTGAGAGAGTTCTTTAACATTCAGCTGCAAATTGAAAAGATTAAATGTCTCAAGTAATTTGATTGGGAAAAAAGTTAGCTTACTGCACAACAATCTAGACCCTGGTCAAAGATTTCTTCATAAATAGCATTACTTAAAGTGGAAATTTGGTTGGAGGGATATTAAAGAGGCCTAATTGTTTGAATTCATTTGTATGTAGGAAAAAGGCATTCCTGCAAAACACAGGGTGTTAAATGACGTTCCTGGTATTCCCTTCTCCCCCACTTTGGTTCAGTACATTGAATCTCCTGAAGTGGAAAAGGAAGTGAAAAAACTGCTGTGTTCAGATGCTGAAGCTGTCAGTACCCGTATCCTTTTATACCATATTTTCTGTGTCATCTCTTCCACCCCATATGCACTTGCTGACAGGCCCTCACCTCTAGTATCTGTGTTCCGATTTTGACGTGTAGAACTTAAGATTTTTGGAAATGGTACTTTCTAGCTAGGAACAGTAAATTCATGTAATAGAAATTTATTTACTTGTGTAATCCAATATAAGGCACTTCTCCGTACTAGGAATCCAGATCCAAATGGCCTGAAGTGGACTAAATTAAATAGTGCTTTCAGCCAAAGAGCCTCTTCCCTTTCAACTGTGCCTTCTCCTTTCTTTCTGCTTTTTCCTTGACTGCCCCTCTTTTCAGGATGGGAAGTCATTGCTGAAGATGAAACCAAGGAAATAGAAAGTCAAGGCTTCATCCCAGGCTTTAAGATATCCCCAGGAATGAGTGGCTATAAGCAGGGTCATGTCTCATCAGGTATACTAATAAAGGCAAAGCAGGAGCTTCAGAGAGGGCAGGTGTTAACTGTGTGTCAGACCATTCTCCCTAGACATCCTGGCCAATCACAGAAACAGGATGCCTTTGCCCTTCTTTTCTCTTATTGGTCCTTCAGTGCTTTAGGGGTTTCAGATTGGTGTTATGATCTCTCATCCATCCCTGGTATTCTAAATTTCTATGGGCCCTTAGATTCTCTGAATGTCTTCATCATTGAATACATGAGTGAATGTGAGTGTTTTGCATTTCCTGTACTTGTTTTATGAAGGGAATAATCTTCCTGTGAGAAAATTATTTGTCAAATTCATTGGTTACTCAGTGAATTTGAGGGGAGGGAGTATAATTGCAGCTAGACTGGGAGTCATTTGAAAAGCTTCAGATAGTTTCGACTTCCACTTGCTTAAAACCAATAGAATGTGAGATGCTTCGGGAGATGTTCAGTGATTCTAGTAGTAACAGTGATAAGGATGATGACGATGATGAAGAGGAGGAAGATGACTACGATGATGATGAAGATGAGGAAGAGGAGAAAGATTATTATGAAGAGGATGTGGAAAGGAAGCTACAGGCCAAGTTCATTGAACCTGGCCAGCATGAGGCCAAGGAAAGAGCCAGTTCAATAGGTAAGTTAGAGGAAAAAGCAAAGGGGTGGGACAGAGTGACTGGCAGTGCTCAAGACCGACTCTAAACACGTGTGAGATGCAAGGCTAAGTTTGAGAAGCTGCTGTTCAGATGTGTAGTGGAGTTTTAGTTGATTTAGATCTCAGTCAACTAGTTTAGGCTGTGTTTAGATACATAAAGTTTCTGTCTATCTCTGTTAGTCATGGAAATTCAGAAGCAGATTCATCACATGGAGAAAAAGCTCCTGGAGATTCAGTGCAAAGCACAAAGACAGAAAAATCTCATCATGAAATTGGAAAACCTGATGCTCAAGGTAAATTCTTGTTAGCTGGTATAAAGATATCTTGATATCTTATTTCAAAATCCCATTTTTGTGTTTCCATTCATGTCATCTCTGTGCAGCATTCTTATTCATTTGTGAACCTAAACAACCTCTTATAAACCCTGAATAAAAGATAACCCTATTTCCTTTTATGTGAGTAATTTTGATCATCTCATATAAGCGTTGTTGTGAAGGGACCAGGAGACCTGAGATAATAATCATCAGTACTGAGCAGTAACTATGTGAAAGGCACATAAAGAGCTGAGCACTTTACATACATCATCTCATTCCGTCTTCGCATCTCTGAACTATAGGTAGTGTCATCATTCCCATTTTATAGATAAGGAATTGAAATTCAAAGAGATTAAGTAACTTGCCAAGGACCACAGTAAGTGGTAGGGCATAGATTGAACCCTGTTGTTTGTACCAAAATGTATTCATTGCAGTGAAAGAGAATTAACTACCTTCATTTTTAAATTTTATGATGGATGCTTGAACAAGAACAAATATCTTGCTTTTTTTTTTTTAATTATTTATTTATTTTTCTCCCAAAGCCCCAGTAGATAGTTGTATGTCATAGCTGCACATCCTTCTAGTTGCTGTATGTGGGACGCGGCCGGAGAAGCGGTGCGTCGGTGCGCGCCCGGGATCCGAACCCCGGGCCGCCAGTAGTGGAGCGCGCCCACTTAACCGCTAAGCCACGGGGCCGGCCAGCCTTGCTTTATTTTTATTAATACACATTTCAACAAAAGGAAAATGTATGTTTAGGATATATTTGGTTCCCTTTTTATAGTGAGGGAAATTCTGAAGCGTTTGAAAATTCCTTGCCGTATATCATTTTCTGTAGAGCTGTAGTCATCGAAGGGGAGCAACTTTACACAGAACTACACCTGTTTAGGGCCGGCCCTGTGGCTTGGTGGTTAAGTGCGCGCGCTGCAATGCTGGTGGCCCGGGTTCGGATCCCGGGTGCGCGTCGAGGCACCACTTCTCCGTCCATCCTGAGGCCGAGTCCCACATACAGCAACTAGAAGGATGTGCAGCTATGACATACAACTATCTACTGGGGCTTTGGAGGGAAAAAAAAAAAAAAAAAAAAACTTAAAAAAAAAAAAAAAAAAGAACTACACCTGTTTAGAGTGTTGTCCTTTAGAATAACCAAGTGAGATAACAGATGTGGACACACTTTGAAAGATACAGATATATGGTATTATTATGATTGTTGTTGCATGCAGTACTAATTAGGAATAATAATATTCTGCCCTAGTGCAGGGAAATGAAGGCATCAGCACCAAATTCTAAACCAGTTTCTTTATTTCACCACAAAGGATTTGTGCTAAACTAGAAAAAGGTAACATGAAAGCATTCCAACTATTTATTTTAGGGCAATAAAAAAAATGCTGTGTAGGGTTTATAAATTCAAATCGGATGGCCTTGTAGTTAGGGGGTGCAGTTTTTATACTCTAAATCCTTTAAAAATAGTGCTCTTTTATTACGACTGACAGTTTTCTTACTTATCAAATTATTTGCCAAACTCTTTGTCTCTCTTGGTTCTCTTTTCCTTTGAGACTCAGCATTCATCATTTATACAATTTGTTTTCCAGAATCATTTACAGTCTGTGCTGGAGCAGCTTAAGTTAGAGGAAAAAGAAAAAAATGAGCAGGTGAGAAGTGTGTTTTCAAATTAACCAGAAAACATTTGATACAAAGAATCCCCCCACCCCACCCCCAATCTCATTTCTGGCTGTTTCTGTCACAGGAATAGTAGTAGCCAAATCTTCTAAATGACGGTAGCAGGTTGAAACAAGGTCTTTGTGAAAATTCATTCAGATATTGAATGCCTATTAAGTGAAAAGCAGTGGATGTACATAGAGTGTTGCTGAATAAGACAGATATAATGCTTGTCCTCATGGAGCTAACAGTCTAGCAGGGAAGAGTGACAGGAGACAAATTATCATACAAATATAAAGGTGCAAACTGTGAAGAAGCACTGTGAAGGAGAAAAAGTCAGTGGTGCTATTTGAATAAAGAGAGTCCTGAATTAAATTGGGGGTATCATATTAGCCCTCTCTGAGGAAGTGATAATTAGGCTGAGACCTGAAGTATCCTTGAGTTCAGGCAGAGAGGGGATGAAGAGCCTCTTGGGTGGAGCATATGCCAAGGCCCACATTGGGAAAGAATTTGGCCTCTTTGAGGACCTCTGGAATATTGAAAGCAAGGAAGAGAGTGACTTAACATAAGGTTGGAGAAAAAGGCAGAGGCCATATTGTATGGTTCCTTGCAGGTCATGCGAAGGATGGGTTTTAGTCTTAAGTGCAATGGGAAGCCCTTGAAGAATTTTAAGCAAGAGAGTCACATTTAAGCTTTTTAAAGATCACCTTGATTATTATCTGGAGTATGGATTGTAGGAGGGCAGGACTACAAGCAGGGTGGCCAGTTAGGAGGCTGTCTGGTAGTCTAATAAGAGATGATGGTAACTTGGACTAAGGTGGTGGCAATGGATATGGAAAGAATATATATTTTTTAACTGCAATAAAAATGTTTAACAACAGCTTTATTGAGATCTAATTAACATGCCATATAGTTCACCCATTTTAGTTGTAAAATTCAATGGCTTTTAGTATATTCACAGAATTGTGCAGCCATCACCACAGTCAATTTTAGAACATTTGCATCACCCCAAAAAGAAACTTGTACTCATTAACAGTCACTCCCCATTTCTTCTGAATCTCTCTCACCCCCCAGCCCTAGGGAACCACTAATCTACTTTCTACTAGCCTACTTTGCTTATTCTGGTGATTTCATATAGAAGAAAACATAGCCAAAGCCAGTCTTTTGCGTCTGGCTTCTTTCGCTTAGCAAATGTTTTCAAGATTAATCCAAGTTGTGGCATGCATCAGTACTTTATTCCACTTTATGGCTTCATTGTATGGATATGCCACATTTTGTTTATCCATTCACTGATGGACATTTCTATTGTTTCCACTTTTTGGCTGTAATGAATAATGCTGCTGTGAACATTCATATATGAGAGAATGTACTTTAAAGGTAGAATTGATGGGACTTGGATCAATTGCTGGGTGTTGTAGGAGAAGGAAGTGTTAAGGATGTATGCCAGATTTCTAACTTGAATGACAGTATTATTGACAGCCACAAGAGAGTGAGCAGAGTGAAAAGGGAAGAGGGCAATGTAGGATAAGTGAGGGTCAAGTAGCTGTATAGAAAATGTCTGGTCACTCCAGCTCTATACTGTTGAGAGTAACAATTTAAAAGAAACTGGAGGTCATATTATGAGGATGGGCTGAGCGTGGGGCTCTTAAGGTAGAGATGCCATCCCCCCGCCTCCATCCCCATACCACCAAGGCCAGGGCATTTCTTATGTTCTGTACATTCCTTCCCCATCAGCAAATCACTTATCCAAGTACTGGTTACAAACAGTCATGGGAACAGTTAATGCCAAAATTGCTTTGGCACCCACTAAACATCTTTGTTTTCATCCATGTGAGTAGTATTTTTTGTTGTTAGTGCCGTCAAGTCGATTCCAACTAGTGACCCTGTGTGCAGCAGAGCTGAAGCCTGCCCAGTCTTTTAGCGCCATCCCCTCACCTTCCAGCACCATATCAGACAATGCTCCGCTGCTATTCATAGGGTTTTCATAACCAGTTTTTTCAGAAGTGGGTGGCCAGGTCCTCCTTCCTAGTCTCTCATAGTTTGGAAGCTCTGCTGAAACCTGTCCACCCTGAGTGACCCTGCTGGTATTTGAAATACTGGTGACATAGCTTTCAGCATCACACCAACATGCAGCTGCCACAGTATGACAACCGACAGATGGGTAGTGTGGTTCCCTGACTGGGAACCGAACTCGGGGCTGTGGCGGTGAGAGCACCAAATCTTAACCACTAGACCACCAGGGCTGGCTAGTTCGTATTGGGGAGTGCTATTTTCAACATAGAAATATAGCTGTAAACTGTATTCACTCAGACCCCTTTATGATAGCTCATTTATTCAATGTCGATTTATTGGGTGCCTACTTTAAGCTGGGTTCTGTAGGGAGCTATAAAATGCTTACAACACAGTCTGCCTCCAGTTGGAGAGAGATCCATGAGAGGGATAGGAAATTAAAGGAATGAGAGCTTACTTTTGTCCATGGAGATTAGGGAAGACTTCATTGAGAAATGGTGTTTGACTGGGGCCTTAAAAGGTGGGTAGGGTTTTAATAAGGAGATAGGGAAAGGAGGGCATTCTGTATAGAAGTAGCATGCACAGTGGTTCAAAGGTCATGATGCCAGGCTAAAGAGTTTAGATTTTTGGTGTAGATCATAATGATCCATCAAAGCATTTTACCTGGGGAGTAACTCAGGAAGATTTCTTTGCCAGCAGCATACAGCAGAAATTGGAGTGGGGAGAGACTAAAGGAATATGCAAGCGATAGAAGGAATCAGAACTTAACAACTGATTGGATTTATAGGGCAAAAAAGGGAACAAAGAGGATTCTAAAGCCTGGGTAACTGGAAAATGGTGTGCCACTAACAGAATGAAGACTACAGGAAGAGGATTACTGGGGGTAGGGGATGGAGAAGATGAGTTGAGTTGGAAGCATGTTGAGTTGGAAGCACTTTTGAAAATGGGAGACTGGAGGGTGGCTCATGCTTAGAAATGATCATTGAAGCTGTGGGGATAGATGAGTTAGCCAGGTTGACTGTACAGCAAGAAACCTGAACCTAGGGAAAACCTCCCTTTAGGGGTTGGCGGGAGGAGAAAGAGCCCACAAAGGAGACAGAACTGGGGTAGTCGGTGGTTGTAATCATGGTCAGCATCTGAGTGAAAAGAGTCTCTATAAATTACTGTAGGCAGCAATTAGAGCAATTTGGTAGGTGATGTGCAGCATAGGATCATTTTCTAATGCTCCATTCCTTTCATTTCACAGAATGAAAATCCACACTGGTATGGAGTGACCTAAATTGAATAACATTCAAAAACAATCTTTGTCCCACAGACAGTATACCTCTCTGAATGTTATTGGTCACTTTGCCATTTCAAGTAAAAAAAAGGAAATTCTACACCACAAAAGGTTCAAGGCTTCTGACTTAGAAAGCATCAGGATAAGTAAAACATTATCAGGCTCCTAATTGGTCAGGACTCTGACCTGGTTTCCAGGTATCTCAGCGTGGCAAGAGGCAGCAGCTAAGACGTGGTTTAAGACCCAGTGTGTTCAATGGGACAAGGGGCTATCCCAACTGCCTTATCTTCTGACTCTTAGAATATGGCCACAGTGATTCCCATCTCCTTTGTCCCTACAGTGAGCTGTGACCTCTGTCCACTCTTCCCAGAAGTACAGATTCTTAACAGCAAGCATACTTACTTTTTTAAGTATATTCTATTTTAAAGCTTCCTTTTATAAGTTTGGCATAATAAAAGACAGCATCATGGCCGCAGCATTGTGCATTCATTCTTTTTTTTTTTTAATTGTTTATTGCAGTAACATTGGTTTATAACATTGTAAAAATTTCAGGTGTACATCATTATACTTCTATTTCTGCATAGATTACATCATGTTCA